ATTTGAGAAGTTGCATTGGTTGTAAGGGAAGCAGCCGATCGAAAACGCATCGTTGAAAACTCCGTCGCAAACAGAAGACTAGTGGTGCTATGACACGACAGATTCTCTCAAGAGGACAAATCATTATAGAAATAGGAACTTTTTTTGGTGCTTCCAAAGAGAAAACCCGGTAATTTTCTAGCGAACTACAGTGCAATTACAAGTATCCCGATGTCTTTTGTTACGGTGGCTATCAACTGTGGTCTACTTATATCCAGCGGACTAACGCTAACCACCTATTGTGTGGTCCACCTAGACCCTCCTTGACCTGCACACTCACTCGTTCTTTACCTACACTTTAGGCGGGAGACCCTCCTATATAACATGCCCCTCTTGGCACTACGAGTAGTTCTCTCCTTCTATTCTGGTACCAGGTTACATTCTCGTCATGGAATTGGCTATTCGTCCTTCGACTTCATCAATACTCTTTCAGTCATACGGAAACTGTCTCACGTGAAAAGATGGAGCGATACGCCACTCGGGGACCAAGCCAACTTGTAGCTAGAAGTAAGGGGTGTTATCACGTAACACACCGAACTCCAACTGATTTGACAGTCGTAATCTTCAGTCGAGCAGTGCTGTTAAAGTCCGATGTTATAAGGCGTGACTTCAGAATTGTATCTTGTAGAAAGGAAGCCGAGTGATAGATCGAGCTCCGACTTACACTCGAGACCCTGATCAAGTGAGAAAGCTTGTCAAACTCCGGTGGTATAAGCCGTGACTTCGACAATGCACCAAGCTGAACAAAGTCGATTGATAGCGGCAAGATCGAACTCCGATTTAATTCGGTTGAACTCAGGTAATATAAGTTGTGAATTCGACTTATGTCTGGCGAATTTTAATCGATTGTCAGGTGACACGGGAGCGAAATCCGACTAGGTCGTCAAGTTGTAACTCTAGATCGAGGAGAGGTTGGTGTCGAACTCAGGTCGTGTGAGCCATGACTTTGACATAGAAGTGATTGATATTATCCAGGCAACTTTCAGCTAGTTCTGATTTTCTCACTTGTAAGTCTTATCACCTTTCCTTTTGTTCACATTTCTTTCATCGTCGAGCTCCTTTTTTCATTGATCTCGAGATTTTCGATACATTGAGATGGCAAATTGTTCCGTCGAGAATCATGCCGTTACGGAGGCTAAACCCTGCTAATACATTTATTATCAGAGTCAGCATGGCGCATATGAACGAGGAAAAGCTCCTTCGATTTCCTGTCGAAGATGAAGAGATGCTGGATGAACATTTACGTGACATTTTCTTGAAAAACTCCGACACATCAAATGAGCTACTAAGCCATGTGACTGCTATCGGTGTCACAAGTGCTAGTGAGTTCGCAAGGCCGATGCGCAGCAGTGATCCTAGAAGGGAAAGCTTCAGTAAGTGAGCAAGTTGCGTTGGCAAAAGAAATTGCGTGCGCAACACTGAGTAAGCGAGCTGAGTAGGCTTGAAGTAGTAGAAAGCGTTTTCAAGCTTCCAAGGAAGGCAAAATTACCAGTGCGAGCCAGCTGCAGGAGCACATGAGTAGATGTGCAGCAGAGTTCTAATGTAAATAAAGAGGTGTGCGGAACCCGACACGACCAGGACTCAGGAGTGACTATGAGAGTTAGGGGATTGTGTGTAGCTCTCAGTGTAGAGAGGAAGACATCCGATAAGAATGGCCTGGTTGCTATGTGCCGATCAACTGTCACAAGGCCGCTCACAAAAAAAGGATGATGCCTTGCCACTAGCCGCTAAGGCCTCGCCGTTAGACTGCATTCAGCAACTCAACTAAGTCGTTTTCGAGTAAGGTACCTTTTTGTCTAGTGACGTTATTGAAACCGGTTTGCGTCAGCGCCCAGTAGTTATATATGGCAGGCCTGAGCCAGCTAAGTATATTTCAGCTTCCTGCGCCAAGCGCATACTGAAGCCTACGTTGGTGGTATTTTAGACACCCTCGACAATGAAATCCATCGTGTGGATAACCACACGATGGGTAAGGAAGTCGAAGGGAAACTCCGGCTTGTGAAGAGCGTATACTTATCACAGCGTACTTTTCTTGAGACCTTGTCAGAAGCTAGGAATTTACGTTTTAACCCTACTACAGGAACATCTGTATTAGAAAATCGATTACTCGATATGAAATGAAAAGGAAAGGAACTACGCAAGCAGGCGCGTGATCTGAACGAAAATCAATTTAAAGGTAAGCGCATTTACAAAGTCTATAGAGCAATCACAAAAATCTCGAATATAGCCTTGATCGAAAAGGCGATTCTCCACCCAATCTGGGGTTTCCAATGGGCAGGCCCCAACTTCTCACTATCGCTTTATGTTCAATGTTGTATG